ATTGCTGCATGCTGCTGTGAGGCAGTATCTGTAACAATGTCAGATATGAAGCAGCTGGGGTAGTTGACTCTCTGGGAACGCGGAGAATTAATGTACAGTTCTTAAGAATCTTGGTTAGGGTCCTCAAAATTAATGATTTTTGGTGTTACCGCTTTTGCTTGACTGTTGGAGAGGCCTGTCAAAAGCAATACTTCTGCAGCAGGAGGCAGATAGTGTTTCAAAACAAGAAGAGAAGGCCTGCAATATCATGCCTATCGTGTAACTGTAGGCATGTATGTGCCAGAGGAGTTGGCATGTGGAATCATGTTTGTGCAGAGATGATGCAGGGATTCTTTGCAGTATGCTTGGTCTGGCTCTGGAGAGTCTCTTGGTTTTGTTTGTCAGTTGCAGACTAATTGATGAAACTTTCTCTTCCATTGTAGACCAGGCTGAAAGCATTTTCTGTTATTGGAAGATTTAATATCTGTAATCCACTGTTCTGACATTCCTCTAAAGTGATTAAGACGACATCCAAAGGGAGAGTTATTTCTCTTATTCTGAACAGCAGGTTTGTAGTAAGATTAACTGAAGCTGTAGAATTTAATATAAAGAAAATTACCTCTTTTTTTTTAAGAGACATTTACAATGTTCCACCTTTCTACTGTAATAAATATTTCTGTTGAGACTATTACAGGAAAATGTCTTCATTAGATGAAAAGTGTGTATGTGGCTTCCAAACTTGGTACAATAATTAAAAGACTAAGCAGGCTTTAGCCATGCCCTCAGTATGCATCAAACATAACAACAAAGTGTTAGTAACAGAATTCACTACTCATGCCTCCTTAACTTGCGTCTGTTAACATTATAGAATCAATTCCCTCTGAGCTCAAGTAGTTGCTTTTGCTAGTTGTGTTTCTGCCTGTGGTTTACAAGAGAGATACTCTCACTTTTGCACACTAACAGTGAGGATCTTCAAGAGTTCTTGGAGCAGTTTGAATTTTGAATTTAGAGGCCTGGGCTTTACGCAGAATTAGTAATACCTTTTTTGTTTTGATACATTTACAAACAACTCTGTGATTGCTAACTGAACGGTAGTCTTTCTCTTGCTTGTTAATTGTTTTCTCCTTTCTAATACACATTACTACATAAGTGAAAAAAATTAACTATTAACAAAAGTCAGATATACAACAGGAAGAGAACACAATAGACTGAAACTTACAGTGTGCTACAGGGAGGTGTTTGTGTCTTGTGCTTTTCATCTTCTAGCGCTACTTTTATGGACAAGGCAGGAGAGTTTTCTGTCTCCTTGCAAACCTCATCAGAATGTAGGAAAGATCAGGTGAATGTAAAAGTAACAAAGATTTCACTCAAGCAGGAGGCCAGTTGGCAGATGAGAGTCTAGAATATAATTTTTGGTGCATAGAGCAGGTGGAGGAAGGTGACGAACGATGCAGTGAGTGGTAGCACTTAGGAAGTCCCAATGTCTCACTTCAGCTGTGCTGTGTGGCTTCCATGTATGATAGTACTAAACTGGTACTGGCAGAGTGATATTAACAGGACTTTCTGTGAGCATAATAATGAAATAGTTAGACTGTGATCTCACTTTTTTGGGGGCATGTTCTTTGTAGGTACTGTTTTATAGGGAATGCCAAAAATTACCCTGTGTGAAAAGTTGGTATCTGTTAAACAGTTTCATCTGTAAAAAAGCTTCTGAATAAATTATAAATTGTGATCTGATCTATTTGGGGAAAAAATGGAGATGCTTCCATTGTTTCCAGATAAAAGGGAACTGTATTTTCAAATACGATATGCTTCGTAATATGGCAGTGTAAAAAATTTTTTGGCTGTCCATTAAGAAGCTTTTCTCAGTGGCTGTAAAATGGTAGAAGATCAAGAAGAATTTTCACATAAAGATGAATGGAAGAAATTTATTTGAAGAGAGAGTATGTTTTAAATTGTAAATATTCTAAATATTTTTTTTAAGGAAATGAGAATGAGTAAAGCCAAAGGGATCTGTCTTGCCCAATAGCAGATCTCTAGGGAAGAGTGTAAGAACAGAATAAGCATATGCACGTCTTCAGAATGCTCTCCTAGCCTCCAGCATTTCCACCAGAGGATGTTGTCTTTAATAGCTTTTGATAGGTTTTTGTTTTTCCTTCTGTGAATGTCAGGCTGCTTTATGAACCATTGCATACTTCTGCAAAGTGGTAAAGAATTCCACCGCTTCCCTACATGCTCTGTGAAGAACCAGCCGTTTTTTCTCTGCTTGTCACCTCACCTCTTTCATTATGACACGTAGGGACTACTGAAGAACAACAGATGCTCTTCACTTTCTTCATGCTGCTTGTGATTCTGCTGACATCTGTTGTGTCGTCTTCTACATTACATCTTTTCCAGACTGAAGAGTCCTCATCCATTTTGTTGCCCTGTAAAAGGAAAGCTATTTTGTACTCCATCGTCATTGTGCTCTCCTGTAACCTGTTTCAGCTCTTCTATAATCCTTTTGGACTTTTGGCACTATGTAAAATATTTAAGGTGTGGACAAGCTGTGGATTTATACAGTAGTTAAATGATGTTCTCTCTCTCTTGACTGATAATTCTCGTATCAGATTACTCTGGGGACTGTTAGTGCATGCTGAGCTCTTTCTTGTAACTTTATTATTACATTTGTGAATGGTAGTAGTCGGGTCAGAGCCCGTTGCTTTATAAGGCAAGTTGGGATTGGTTCTGCTGCCCCCTCACCACGTGATGTGATTCATATCTATCTGTACAGAACTTCATCTCATGTTATCACCCAGCCGCGCAGTGCTGAGAGTTCCATCTGCAGCTACCCAGCAAACTTTGTTGCTTTGTTTTTCATCCCTTCTTCTAGGTAACTTAGAAGGCTGAGCTGTTTGCCAATACAGGAAAGCTGTCTGTCTGACCTCTGCTAGTAACTCTTCATATTGGCCAGCCAGTTTGGCTATACTTCACAAGGCTCAACGGCTGGGTAGAGGAGAGGGATCTGAATTGGAAGTCCTGTTACCTGTTTTTATTGCTGCCAGCTGGCTGGATGTTACAGCGCATATAGCTTTGTAGCAGTTACAGTGAATAGTTACAGAATTTGCAGATAAGCAGAGGAAAAAGGGTGTAAGGAAAAGATTTGGAGGTGGATTGGGGGGGCATCTCCTTTGCTTGGAGGGAATGAGGTTTCTTATTACTGAAAGAATGTATACTGGGCTGTTGTATGTTAATGTTTTCTTTGAGAAATGACAAACACAAGACTTCCTTTGGATAAAGAAGAGCATGGAATCAAGGTGTGATCACATCTTGTCCTCCCTCCCACCCCAATCACAAAGTTATTTCTGTGGATTTAACTCTACAAGGCAAAGGAGGATTTGGCCTCAGCCTGTGAAAACTAATGTATTAGTGTAATACCAAATGTGCAAAAGCATGTGTTGCTGATACCTCATTGTGCTGAAAAATAAAACAACAACCAAACAAAAGGCATATAGGTAAGGCTTTTGAAAGCTTTATGTGGACACAAAGATTTGAACTGGTTTCCACTTTTATATTTTTGTTCTTCTGTGCAAAAGAATGTGAACAGTTGTGTTCAGGGGACTACAACTTTAGCCTGCCATCTGTTTCGCTCCAAGCAGGCATAGTACAAAGATACCACGGCTAAAGAAACTCATTTTTTAACTTTAACATTGGGTGGATTTTGCACCAGCTCCATGGTGCAATGCACATTCATGTGCGTGGGGCGTGCACATTCCAACCACCTGTACTGAAAGAGAAATACTTTCATGATGATAATGTTGGACTAAGGAGAGGCCAAGGAAGGGGATGAGGAAGCATCATCCAGTTAAAAATCACTAAAGACTTGTGTAAAATGTTCTATATATAAAATGTTCTGTATTACTGCTATGGTTTTTGTAAGTTACAGTACTGTGATCTTAATATTTTTTCCCCAAAGCATGAAATATACTTGTTTTATTTGATATAAACTTCTCAGTCTTTTGTGCATATTCAAATAGAAAATAACGCATTTTCTTTATATAGGTTATAAAGCAGCTAAATGGAGTCTGAGCAGCTGTTTCATAGAGGCTATTATCGAAACAGTTACAACAGTATAACTAGTGCAAGCAGCGATGAGGAGCTTTTAGATGGAGCAGGTGTAATTATGGACTTTCAGACCTCTGAAGATGATAATCTCTTGGATGGTGATGCGTCGATTGGTAAGTTAACGTTACTTTCAGCTTAAAAATTTCTCTGGGTTGTATTTCTGTGGTTTTGTGGGTTTTGATTGTTTTTTTTTGTTTTTTTTTTTAATAAGCAGAACCAACCTTTTTCATAAACAGAACCAACCCTTTTTCATAACTAATTAATGTTTCTCTTTAGCTAATCTGTCCTTCAGAGGGATGCTTTAAACCTGAAAGTGGCTGAACGTTTTTCTGTGTGCTTGCCTAACAGTTACATTGTATGGGATGACTTCTGATACAGGGTAGATATTAACTTACTTCTGGCAAATGACAAACTTGCTGTCAAGTAGTGGAAGGATGGCTATTCTGCAGCTACCTGGTCTTTCTTAGCTGCCGCAGGCTTTTGGAAGTTTTCAATATTTCTTTGGGGCAGAAATTAGCAGTCTCTTTTAATTGTTACTTATAGGGAGAAATCTGTTTCTGCTTGATTTAGCTTCAGATCTGTAAAAGAGAAGCAAAAACCTTCTAAGTAGAGGTGTTAGAAGCAACAGGAAACACCATATGAGCTGAACTTTTGACTAGGTGAAAAGTTGCAAAGAAAACTTGTTACTATGAGCACTAATAAAAGTACTGAAGTAATACAAAGAAGAAAGAACTGGGAAGCTCTTCCTCTTTTTTTTTTTTTCTTTTTAATTAACAAAGCAGTTAACGGAGTGAAAGCATTAACATTCTCTTAGCAATGGTCAAAGAGGGGAACAGGAGGGAAAGAAAACAATTTGTGTGTAAGATAGTAAACTTGGTTAAATGTATACTCTTGTCACTTCCTCTTATTTTGTTTAAAATCAAACTCAGCCTTTTGTTTTATCATCCTTTCCTCCCCCATTAACATTCAGTTGTCTTTCATCCCTTCAGAGGCTCTTTCTTCATGCGTTTTCCCTTTGCCACACTTAGCAATTGGATGTTGGCATTGTACTAGATAGTTGTGTCGTATCATTATAAGCATCCTTCTCATCTGTATTCCTTCTGTCTAATTAGATATGTCTTGAATATGCAGTTATTTAACTTGTATACCAATACAGGTATCGAGCCAGAACACCTTCAATCTACATAAAAATTCCTTCTGCCAAGTTACTTAGAGAACACCAGCATGATGAAGTCAAGCACTTGATAGTTAGGAAATTATTAAGCAAACAGTTGGCTTCCATGTGTGATATTTTGTTCTGAATATCTGGCACTTTTAATAAAGTGAGTGCCTTGCTTATCTAACATAATATTTGCAACCTGTACTGAAAGTCTGAAGCTACTCTGGTTATTGTTTATATAAATCCTCTCCATCACTTCAAGCTTTAAGGAGAAATAAATTTGCAGTAAAATAAATAGTTTCAGAGCCAGTGTTCTGCCCCTTGCTTGTTGTGAAATTAGATCCGTAAATTGGGTCCAAACAGATGAGGTGGTGGTTTTGTTTGCACTGTCAAAAGCAATGCTGATTGCTGCACATGCCAGCAGCCCCTATCTCATTGTAATGCTGAAGTATTAGAAAGTGCATTGCAACATAAATATTAGTGTATTTTCTTGCCGGGAGTTGAATTTTTTGCTAATGGTGTATCTGCTTGCCACAATTCTGGTCTCTTGGTAAGAGGCAGCAATAGTAATAAGCACTATTATTTTATTTAAGTGAATGGTGATTTATGTGTCTCCATGGAAAACATTTTCTTGTACAGTAAATCATAGTAAATACCTTAGCAATAGATCAGAATCTGGTGTAAATCTTCTTTTCAAGGTGATAATAACATACTTCCAAAAAAGTTTTAAATAAACTTACATGCAGGAGGTGAACATCTGTGTTTCTCATTCCTTAGGTCTCCAAATGTGTAAGGTGGTTTCTCTTGTGTGTTTTTAATTCAGCAAATCTCATTGACAAGACCAAACAAGCACTTTCTTGCTGGACTGCATGTGCCCCTCTGTTACTCACTTAGTATCAACTGTTTGTTTTAATTATTATTATTTAAATACCCTATCCTTTAATCGTCTCTTAATGTATTTTTGTTCTGTTGAGTGTAAGTACAGATGAATTCACCATACAGAATCTGTCCCACCTCCTGAGGAAGGGCAGGACCATCCCGGTAACTGGAAGATCCCATGCTTTTCAACACTGCAGGCCCTCCAGAGCATGATGTGAATGCAGAGGCATTAGGTCTAGCTCTGTGCTTTAGCTGGTGAATCCTGCCAAAATCAGGAGCCCTATTTAAACATATAGTTTGTGTTTTAAGTCTGTAGGGCTGGAAGAATTTATGAGCCTGTTTCTTAGCAACGTGATCAAAATGGCAATAACGTATCTGTACTTAAAATGATTGTGGAAATAATGTAGCTAAATTGAAAGCTGCATAGCTGTAGAATGTAAGCTTGGAGTACAGATGAGCACAGACATGAACAGTCTGCGTAAGTTGTCGCGGACAATAGAGTGTTCGTCACAATTTTACAGTTTATATAATAAAATATAGAATTAAAATTTTAAAAAATTAAGACCATGCAATGAGGAGAAAATGAAGGATTAATAAATTATCTTTTTTCATTTTTTCAATGAAAATTGAACCATAAACTGCACATATATTATGCAGATAAAAAGCTAACGATATGGAATTTCTCAAGTAATTGTAGTCTTTCCCCCTCATTCAGAGGGCATTAAGTTAAGGGAGGAAGTCTGCTCATTTCAGTAGGCTTGGTAAGTCCCTTGGCTGTCAGGACAGCAGTTCTATAAAGCCTGCACGGTACTGCCATTCACATTAGCACTCATACTTAAGTGCTTAACTGAGGCTTACAAAGCCATTGAGGCTGTTATTCAATGGTGAATATGCCTTCTGTTGAAAGCATGTGGAAATTGGATGATATTGGGAAAGAATACTAATGATATATACTACTTGTCCCGTGTGGGAAAATCTTTTATGTTATATGGAACTAAACAAGTGGATGTTAACTGGAACCCGTCTTCAGAAAGTCTTGTCACCTAGACTTTTGGGTATCTTTAATATTTAGTTGATAGAGATTTGCCTTTTTAGTGTCATCTCTGATTTGCAATTTGAATGGCTTTGTGCATTTCCATATGGGGGATTTACTGTTATGTTAAAAAAAAATGCTGTACAACAATCTTGTTTCTCTTAACACCATCTGAAAGTGTGTATGTTACCTATCCTGCACTGTGTCATCTGAGAAGAATACAGAAATTGTGAATATGTAATATTATATACTAAATACATACATAAACATACATGTATAGTAATTATAACTTTATATAGTATATCATATGTCTGTTACATTCTCCAGTAGCTGTTTCTTTGCATAAATTTCAGGCTTTTACTGGCAGCATTGTGGAGAACAAGTGTAGGTATCATGAAATTGTAAATTCTTTGAGCATAGTGTGTTTTAACATGCTAAATAATTACACTGCTATGCATGTGGAGGCTTGGATGCCTTGCACCAACCCCTGCCTAGAAGGGATACTGCCTGTCAGCTTTGGTCAAAACTTGCTTTTGTTGCTTATCAAAACTAATCTCTCTGTAGTACCGAATTTAGTGTTTTTCCTTGCTGAACTGCTGTCTAATGAGAAGTATGGTGATGTTATACTGATAACAGAAGTATTTGCCTCTTTGTAGGGAGGATGTCTTACCAATACTTGTATGTGCAATGTACTTTCATGTATGCAATCTGTGGATATGATTTTCATCATGACTTATCTATGTTTTATTTTTAGACTGTTTGCCTTGCTTCTTGCTAGGTCAATTTAAACACGTTATACTTACCATTGAGAAGCTATCAGTTCTTTAATAGCTAAGTCATATAAGCTAATACTTACTGGTTTAAATTTTATAGGAGATCTATACTATTTAGTTTTTTAACAATTGTCACACTAGGATAGTTTATTGTTTTCCATCATTTTAACAGGGAGGAAAAAAGAATTCTTTCTAAACAGAAGTGAAATCTCCAGAACTGAAATATATTATCACGTTAATATTTTAACTGGGGAATATGAATGAGAAGATGAAATGTCTAATCCATTCTTTTCCTCTCAGCATTGGCTTGACTTGCCTGTCTCAAGTTTGAGAGAGAGACAATTCTTGGCTACTGGCTGGCCTTGAAGGGTGTAACAAGTCTCTTCAAAAGTTCAAACTTTTTCTTTTTATGACTCAGGGTTAGCCAACTAGCATGGTGAAACTGAGAGGTCTCTAATTTTACTCAGAATTGAGGGCTGTTTATACGATGTAAGAGAGGACTGCATCAGTTCTCGCTATTTTTTTTATTTAAGTGTAGGGCAAGCTCAGCAGGAGGTGGATTTTTGTAATGTTGTCAGACTGCAAATTTTTCAAGGCAGTGACTGAAATCAGATGATTAAACCTTATTTGTAGTAAAGATGGTTTGCAAACAAATGATCTCACTGGTGTTTACATCTCAAGGTACTTTGATCTGTCTGTGGGAGTCTAAGTCCTGAATGAGCTTGGCGTTCTTTTCAATAGCTATAGTGATTCCTGCTTCAGTTGAAGGAACTTAGTTGCTTATATTGTGACTTCAGTGTAGAGACAGTTTACAGTCTGGCATATGGTGTTAACATAAAATTGGCAATAGTTAACCTTAATATGACAACCTGTAAACTGGTAATTCAAAAGCTGCTGCTACAGCCGCCACTATCTCCTTGCAGTGATAGCAGTGCCACTAAAAAAAAGAACATGCCAACAGGTCATGGTGTAGTAAAACACAGCGGCTCTCCTAAACTGTCCCTACCCATGAGCTGGAGTCCTTCGCCTAAAGTGAGAGACCAAAACAATCCTTTTTCAGCATCCTAAATACTGATACTAAAAATACGATATAGTGAACTAATATTATGGCATTATTTGAGGAACAGAATGTGATTTTCAGCAAGTGCCGGTGGTTCTGTATCATCCAGAAATTTGTACCACGTCGGAGGTTAATTGTTCAAGCAAGAACTAGACATAGTTATCTTTTCCAACAACACATGAATGTCCTTTCATATGTATGCTTGTTTC